AAGTCTTCAAGATACACAAACGAAGGGTCAATCGGGTCCAACAAGACATCGCAGCCGATTCGAAGTTGCATCACGACAACGCCCCGGCTCACGCCGCCTTTCTTGGTGAACAGCCGGCATCCCAACGCTTTCGGAGCCGACTTACAGCCCCCCCGGTCTTTTTTTGTTTCCTTGCCAGAAAAGGCCGATGAAAGGCAAGCATTTTGAGATGACAGAGGTGATCCAAGCAGCATGCACCTCGACCCTTAAGGATATTCCGAGGAATGTATTCCATGATGCCTTCAATGGTTGGAAATCGTGCTGGCATTTTGAAAGTTTTTAAAGAATTGTAACGATTGGTTGAATAAATAGAACCTAGGACCTTTCTTAAACAGTATATAAATTTCCCCTTTTTTATTGGTAACGCGTGGCAGATCTTCAAGACACTGCATTTTTATTATTTTCTCTTTACTCTACCATTATCAGCAACGTTCTATATGCGCGTTTTACGCTCTCTCTGATCACGTGGCTATTGCACTTTCTATTTTTATGATCAACTATCAGCTTTTCTTTTCATAGTTCAGCCATAAATGGAAAACGATCATTGCCCTTCGTAAGCATTGCAACTTGATTGTCACACATTCTCTCGTATAAATAGCCGCCCGCTCGTCTGGAGCCCTCGTCAACCGCCCGGCATGTTTCCTTGTAGGCGTTCTCTGCACAAACAGCTGTCAGCGTTGAAGCCGCACAAGCGCAACGATCTAGCTGCGCGGCTGACAAGAACAACGACAACGCCAACAACCAACACAACAACAGCGACAACAAGCATGCAATACAAGCAGACAGTCAATGATCTGTTTGGTGTGGTCGCAATTTGCCGCCTTGTGTGCACTTTTACGTTGCCTCCTTCCACCGGCAGCGCGCACAATTTGTTTATGTAGCACCCGATTGTTGTTGTTGCCGCTGCAACATTTTGCAACACTGCCATTTAATTTGTGCAATTAATATGCGCAGATCATCGTTGGCGCGAGCAAATGCTCAACCGGCGATATTACGATGGTGTTGTAGCATTTGATTTTATTGTTATTGCCGGTGTCGACGCCGCTGCAAATTAAACTTGTTCGCGGTTGTAGCGTTTGAGCAACTTATTGACGCGTTAGAATTGTTGTTGTTGACAGTGGTAGTAGCAGCTGCAATAACAAAAACAATATGGCGAAAATAAATAGTGCAGACCCCTGTGAAGAACGCTAGAGGATGTGGCGAGAGTAGAAGCAAAGAAGAACTAGCCTCTATGTGGTTTTGCTAATCAAAGGCGGTGAAATCGTTTTGCGCTCTGGACCACACGAAAGCCTGCTAAAAATTTAATAATAGTTGTACAGAAGGGATTATGCGAAATCTTGGCTCGGTATGTAAAAGAATTAGCCTTTAATTAAAGTAATTTCTCCTCCTATATTCGTTTACCATTATGCTTTCGAACTGAGAACAGGCGTTTCAAATGAAAAAAACCTACCGACCACGGGTGGGAATCCCATGTTTAAAATATATATATAAAAGATCGACGTAACGAGCTGCGACAATCACCAAGATCCTGAATCAAAACCAGAGACTAAAGAGCGGTGTGAACCTGATTGTTCGGGTTCGAAACGTGTTCGTGTCCGGAAATCGACCAGAAGGTTATGGCATCAGTGTTTTGGGATGCGAGAGGAATTTTGTTTGTGGATTACTTGCAAACTGATAAAACAATTAATTCTGAATATTATTGCAACCTTTTGGACCAGTTGTAAAAAATTCATGGAATAAGACCCTGTTTGCAGAAGAAAAAATTCCTTTTTTATCAGGATAATGCACCGTGTTACAAGAGCATTTTGCCAATGATTAAAATCCATAAATTAAATTCGAATTGTTGGAGCATCCACCGAATTCACCAATTTTGGCCCCAGCGACTTCGACTTGTTTTCAGGACTCAAAAAATGTATGCGTGGCAAGTGTTCTTTTCATCAAATGAAGAGGTCATAACAACACGGCTGTTGAAGCGTATTTTGCAGTCCTTCCGGATTGTCACTTCAGGGATGGCATCCACAGTTTGGAGGATCGTTGGAGCAAGTGTATTAATATTTAGGGAGAGTATACTGAATAATAAAGTGTATTTTGAATCATAAAATTGTGTTTTTCTTATCAAACGACAAAACTTATGAAACAACTTGGTAGCATATATAGCTGCCATACAAAATATCCGCTCAAAGTCAATATAACGGTCTTTTTACACCGTTTTCTGCTATATGAAATGCCTGTGAAGGGTATTATATTTATCGCTTTTATATTTTTTGCTGCTCATAAGTTTGCAACCTGCAAGTTCTTATCAGACAATAAATAAATTAATAAACAAGCACATCTGTCAGTGTTTTACCATAAAAAGAAGGCGCTTGCATTAAACAGGAGCGCGACATTCAAGTTGTCACATAAATTACGAAGAAATAATTAAAAATGGCATACAAACACATTTTACTTATACAATTATGTAAATACTAAAATATCATAATGCGAAAAATGTAAAAGAATGAACAATTGTAAAACAATTAAACAACAACAAATAATACAACAACTATTAGCAAGGCAATACAATTTGTTTAACATAAAATGCACATTACCACGCACATCTTTACACATAGTTGCATTTCGACACCACTTACTATAGGCGCAAGTACATATTTTTATGTACATACATACATATATAAGTCTGCATGTATCTATGTATGTACATACAAATAAATATACATACGTATATAGGTAATGCAAAATAGTAATTAAAATGCAAAACGTGTTCCATAACTTTTTCCCTAGTTGAGCTGATTTGGATTTATTGCTTTGCTGCTAGTCTTGCTTACAAACACAAACAACCATTTACATACATGTATGTATGTAGGTATATACCATAAGGTATGTACATACGACTAGATTCTTATAGCACGACACTATTTTTTACAGCCATAAATACCAACAACATAACATAGAACAAACCAATGCTCACCGACGTAATGAAAGTAATTACAAAATCATTTTCAAAACAATTCTGAAATAAATAATTTTTGCTGATCATTGTTGCTTATGTTGCTGGCATTTTAAATCATTGCATTTCTATTTCTAATAAATAATTAAAGAATTTGTTAATTTTTCCCCTATGTTTGCTTTGTATTTAAAATGTTAATCAGAAGCTAATTATACCGCTTCGAGTAATTGCTTTTAATTCGCTACGATTATTGCGGAAAGTTTATGAATTAGAATGTAATCAAGAATGCTGAGAATAATTGGCAGCCTTTTGTGTTTAATTTTTGCTGAGAAACCCAAAATGATTGGCAACAAAGCAACTGGCTTGCATGAGAACAGCTGAGTACTCGTTAGTGAAAAATACATATTTAACATAAAAGTCAAAACAAAAAAAAAACGTTAACCTTGGCAGCGCCGTAGCTATAATACCCTTCACAGGGTTATTTCTCTTTAATCCATGCCAAATTCCCTGAAGATATATTGTCAAATAACGAAGTTGACCATACCAGAACTTGATTTAATCAATCATTTGGTACATATGTAGGTAAATATGCATTCGTTATCGGCCATTCCGTTAAATGTAGTCTGCATTTTCTTGGGGGGAATAGAACGTGTGCGAAATTTCAGATGCATATCTCGCAAACTAAGGGACTAGTTCACCCAAGTATATACAGACGGATGGTCTAAATCCATTAAAATGATCAAGCGGTTCATTCTGTTCTCACGACAGACGGGTATACGTAATGGGGACGGATTCGGATTTTTTATCCAGCCAAGAACTGCCAACTCGGCAGCATTCTTCCGCTAAAACAGTAACAAAATCATTTATATACATACATACATATGTATGTATATACTTTATGGGGTCTTCCTTCCGTTTCTTGCTCGGTGTTACAAACTTCGTGGCAAAAATAATGTATCTTGCAGAGGTTATAAAAGTAAGTAAAGATCTGAGCGAGTACAAGTAGTTAAAATGTATACCCTAGAAAGCACATAAACGGATTATTGCTATCGTTGCCACAACTATCATGTTGATAATGTAAAATACACCCTTTTTAGTCAAACGATCGAAGCAATATTTCTTGCTAACCACTCTTGCATTTCACTACTCTCAAATGTGATGTATTTTTTCGTGTCCACCACTGTACAACGCACGTAGCGGAGCATCACCAGCAACGCAACGAACCATCAACAGCAACGCAACACTGCGTTAACAGCAACGTAACGGAGCATTAACATTTCACAGCAATTAGATTATGTTATTGACATTACAGCACCGATCAATAGCTGTGACGTTAATGTTATCCCAAGCAACTCATAGAATACCAACTGTAGTGCTTGTCTTTAGGCTCGTGTTTTGTAATTAAATTCCTGTTGTGGTGGTGGAATATTCGCTGCTGTCTACTGATTATTGTTGACAAAATCAAAAGCGACATTGCATCTTTTCATTCTATTATCGTTCCTTCTGTTAACAAATGTTTCAGTTTCCGTCGATAATTGTCCGCTGTAAAGTGACTCTCGTTAGGGCCTACACGCATACACGTAACGCATGTTGCATTACATACACACACATATGTACGTATTTGTTTGGGTATACATGTATTGGTGTAGTTTTATCAACATTCCGATTGCCAATTTGGTTGGTGTGCTCTTCCACGACTCTTTCTTTCACTCTATTGCGCTTAACACTCCACTTGATGTTGCCAGATTGTATTATTAAAATAATATTCGCTTGATCTCAAGACTGTAGAATTTACTTCCACTTAGGCGTAGCGATTACATTTACTAAAACAATGTAAAATAATTTTTTCGCTGATTGCTTTAATATGCACCTTCACAATAACAATCTGGCAACACCAACCACTTTTGCCGGTTCGCTCAGTTAACACCAACACAAATGCACGCCATTGTAATCGTCGTTGGGTAGTAGTAGAGTTGGAAAGAGTACACCTATCGGCTGCTAACAACCATCGAGAGCCGCCACTTGCACCGGATATCGTTTTGTAGACGCGATGTAGTTGTTGGATAAACGAGCGGTCGAATGGTTGTGTGAGCAAACGAACGGTCGGTCGTCTAAGTTGATTGTATTGTTTGTTGTGTTTTGATCATTGACGGTCGCTATACGATCTCCTATATACATACATACACATGTGTATATATTTTTATTGTGTTTAATTTGTTGAACAATTACTGTCGCCGTTCCTGGCTCATGTGCCAACATACATAGCCGTACTTGTTGTTCGTGCGCTTTTGATTTTGTATACCGGTTTCTTTGACTGGCTCTGGCGCAGCCCGAGCGTCGCGTTGTTGCCCGAGCAGCAATTCGTTTGCGTTTACCCATATTTACTTACTGAGTTTCAGTGTTTTTCTTACTTTTGGCTTAGCCTGCTTTTTTCTCAACTGTGTTTTTTTTTGGTTTTTGACGATCGCGTACTAGTAAACGCCGAAATGTCAAGACGTCTTGCAGTGCAACGCCATTCAATTTCGTGTGCGCGTGTTTTTCACTTGTTTTTATTTTTCGCCACTTTTCGGGCGTTGTTGCTTATTATTCATTAATGCGTGTGAAGTGCTTGAACCTTCTGACTATTTGTTGAGCAGTCAGCAGTATAAATAACAACATGAAATATTGTATTAAATGAGATTAATTTAAAAGACAGGCATCGGTAAATGCCGAACATAGAGTGTGCGTGTTACAGCTGTGTGTGACAACAGTCAGCAAAGTACAAAAAGCGAGTGAAAATATTGCGAAAATTACTCTACCAGCAATTAAATTGTGAAATTTCGTATGCGTGACATGATTGCTCCACGAAGCGCTGGCATTAACGAAGCCTAGTCATGCAATGAAATCGCTAAGAAACAAGAAAAACATTGATGGCCGTGTTTTTAGAGTACTCTCTTCTTAATACCAGTGAAAAAATTATGCATCAGCTGCTAAAATGAACTTCAAAGGCACATAATACACAATTTTGCATTCGTTAATGCGCTCTCAATGTCGTGTACCAAAAAACCGACAGCCCTGCCACCCCACTGATCGAGGCAGCGCAAGCAAAACCCGCCCTGTGAGCAAACCGTCTTCACTGTGCTTGTTAGCGACAGCCCTTGACTCATCTCGCAACACTAGTTGGTGTTGTTGTTGTTGTTCGTATTCGCGTTGACTTCTTAATTTTGAAACGTCAAGGACATGTGATCACTGAAGCAGGCTTTGAATATTCATTAAAATAGGTAGGACCGTCACAAGGTGCATTAAAACGTGTGTCGAAGCTTGCAACTTCTTATTTACAAAATGTTGCATTAGGGTTACCAAAAACGCCATTGAAATGGAAACATTTTGACAGAAGGCGGCATCAGAATGGGTACGTTGATTCCGTAGCGGAATAGTACACAACTGACAACTGACCATTGAGCGACATATTGACCATGATAAAATAAACAGCTGATTTATGTATGTTTGCTTGAGCAACGGATTCGTTGTGACAAACCCCCTTCGCTACGTGCGTCCTTTCATTCGCAGTAGTGGCAGAAAATATGCCAGAAGTAATTTGAGGTAATACTGCCGAGTTGACAGTTCAGATGCAGAACAAAAATCCGTGCTCTTTCCAGTTATACGTAACCAGTTCTACGGACCCGACTGTCGTGGGAAAACAACTGAATTGCCTCCATTTAATGTGGAAATTGTGATGGATCTTTGTTGGAGTAATTTGTAGTTTAACATAAAATATTTACAAAATCAGTTTTTATCACTTCAATGTGCAGATAATGTTCCAAAATGCAAAGCAAGATGTGAAAACGTCAACCTTTCCGTACGATATTACTCGGAATTTAAAGTTATATTAACCAAGACATTTAGAAAACTGTACTACCAGCCTATCGTACACTGCAAAATCTGTTTAGATTCAATCTAACCGCTAATCTTTGAATAAAATTATTCTGTAAATTTAAAGGTAGTTCAAAACATCAAGCCATTGGATCCGTTTCTACAGCAGAAGTCTACAGTCAGATTTGTGGCGAACCACTCAACGAGTACTTAAGATTCTCAGGCTCTTAGCTTAGAAATGTTTTGAGATAGATTTAAATGATAGGTAGTGACATCTAAGCTGACAACATCATTTCGAATTATTAGTTTATACCATGATCAGATCTATACTTAATTACCAGATTTCGGCTGTTGAGTAGTTTATCCCACTAATCGTATAAATTTAACAAGATTTCATCACACAAAAATTACAGTTCTTAATCTCGTCTCCGAGGTGATTTAAATGTAATTTACACAAAAACTCTCTGTGCGACTCTATTTAGCACCATCTACTTATCATCATTGGAAATCTACTGTATTATCACAGCTGATTTAGACACTCCAAAAGAAAAAAATGTAAACAGACAAATGAATTAAACGCAATGAATCTGAATTCACCTGAAACCCGACTTCTCAAATAAAAAACTGCGTCCATTATTTTCATTATATGGAAAATATTTAAAAGTAGACGGCTTTTATAACAATATACTATAAGTATTTTCTTTTAATAAATATTAAGCGATGTGAATTCTTGAATGGCAAAAACATCTGTTTTATTATCTGCCCAACGGCAGTGAGAACGGGCTAGATTAGTGAAGAGATTAAATGTAATCTAAACACTTAAAATTTTTTGGTGCGAACATAGTATTAGGTCTGCTGTTCCAAGCAAATATATTCCTCTCTTGCTAAATTTTTAAAGAAGTCGGAGGGAAAAACGGCACTGGATTTTAATAGATAACATAGATAACATATATAAGCATTTGTCAAACGGCAGCTGTCACTTCTCTAGCGCTGCGCTGCGCACACTCGCTCCACTGTCTTGTCTATTGGCTGCGCCCTTCGCTCAACGCTGATTCATTAGCGTTAATCTTAGCTGCCTTATGAATTGTGGTTTTCAACTTGTTGTCGGTTGCTTTATGAGTAAATGACTACATATGTATATGATTTATAGGCATGGAACACCACGAATATGTGCGCATATGTATGTATGTATTAGTATGACAAATATATGTGAATAGATGAGCTGATGTGTAAATACAATGAAACTAAAAAACATTTTGATATTCTTAAACAGCAAAACATCGCTGCGCGTTTACGCACCTGAGCGCCGCACCCGCTCGTTCTTACTGTTATTTGTTTTTTTCCCATTTGCTTGCGAAGTTTCACTAGAAATCAATAATTTATGCAACAAAAAAGCATTACAGAATTCAATAATATAAGCAACAACAAAAATATGAGATAAATAATGCCTTTATGTAAGAAAAAATACGCATTTTGGTATTTACCGCATTGCTACAACAACAAATTCAAGTTTTGAATTTTTGTGCATGCAAATGAGTTTTGTTTTGATTTACAAAGTCCAAAAATGGAAAATGTTGGCTTTTGGACTTGCAAAGCGCTCAAGGTCGTGCGTTGCATTGTTGCGAATAAGCTTGCGCTGGCTCCACAACACGTCCTTGTCGTTTTGAACTGCCTTTTATGTAGCTTTAATACTTTTAATTTAATTTTATTACGCCCTTAGTAATCAGTCCACATTTGCTGGTATTTTTTACAACTCAACTTTTTTATGCTTTGCTTTGAGTTCTTAGAAATTTTCCATTTACAATTTGTAATTCGAGTTCACACATAGTTGACGGCATGTATGTACATATGTATGTATGGCTGTAGGCGCTTACTACTTCTATTACAAGGCAATTGGAAGGTTTTATTAACCTCTGTACTTGCTTATCGATTTGGTTGTCTCCATTTCAACGGTATCTCCGCCTACTTAAACGTATACTCGCATAAAGATAAACTTACAAGCTTAAATGTATTGTCTATGCACAATAAACCGCTTAAACCAAATTTGGTGGCATAACATTTTCAAGTAATCAACTCAAGCATTCATTCAATCAATCATTTATATGTTTTACACTTAATCCACAAGTGCGGAATTGCCCAGAGCAAGTGGAAGCTTATATATTTTATTTGCGGAAAATTTTCGTAGTGATTTTTTTCGGAATAATTTCAATTTTGAAACTTTGAATCACGCTCTTCAAGCATTGGCTGCTTTACTTTCACTACAAAACCGCTAAAAAGGAAGTACAACCTAAGCATTACAGCGCTAAAACAATTAAAAATCGAAAGAATATAGTCCACCCATACGCTAACCTCAAATTTCACGTGAATTTTTCGCTTATAAATTGTATAAATTCTCTAATTTGTAGTGTGGGTGAATTTCGAAACTTATCCGACGGGCTTGACTAATGCAGTGAACTTGCTCTGAACCTACTAAGCTGGTACAAACTTATATAATTCTCTATTAAAAACGAAGAATAAACAGTTCTTGTCAAATAGAAGAGATTTCATGGTTGATGTTGTAACGGTAGAAAATATTCCAGAAGTAATTTCAAGATATGGTGCCGAATTGATATTCATTGGCCAGATAAAAATAGTTAAAAACCACTTTTGTGCAAACAAATAATATTTAAAATTAATACTCACCGACTCAAACGGGGTTAGATCGCCAAAAAACAGTCCTGGCCGGACAAAATCCGGGTCAATTCCGGTGCGTAGAACCGGCTGTCGTTGGAATCGGTGAAGAGATATATTGATATCGGCAGTTCTGATAAATAAGCATTTTAGTGGGCGGAAAAAAAAACGTATGCAGACAGACAGATATTCATGACTAAACCGACGTAGTTCGACAGACTGATTAATTATATTCATTTATACTTAATAGGGTATGACGTTTTCTTCTGTGTGTTTCAAAAAAAGACCGATATCTTCAAACGAACCTTGAGTCTATTCATTAGAAGATCCTACCCTCTTGATCTCATTAAGCAGCTGTTGCAAAACTGTTACAGTCGTCAAACTAAATGATAGAAACAATCTGCAACGAAAGAAATAATAATAATGTGAATCAGAAAACTTAAACCAAGTGGCACTTAAGACAGACAGTTTTCAATTGCTAGGTATATTCACTCCTCCAGTGGCAAATTTAGTATATTTTGTTCAGAATATACAAAGCGTTGAAAGATCATGATAGATAATACAAGTCGGACATTTTATGCTATTAGAGAAAAAAACCATAACTCAGTCCGAATGGCAAGAAAAGTTATGTACCGCAAGCCTCACACATTGATCACGCTTTGTAAGCTTTAGATTTACGAATAGAACTCTTTTTTGTGATGTCTCGTCCAAGATTGTCTCCGTTGAAGTTCGGAATAGAGATTTGCTTTGCCTTGACTGCAAGTCCCAAAATAGTTCATTTATATACATATGTATGTATATATATAGGCTTCCCATTCCTCTGCCAAGATTTCATTCGCTCCGCCTGAGGATTTCTCCAAATGCAATCTTTTATTCAAAACACAGCTAGGTCAAGAGTAACTGCCAGCTGCTATACATGTGTAAGTCACATGAGAATCATATTAAAAAGCAGAATACAGAAAGAAAACAAGCAGTGATGAAGGAAAAGTCAGTATCTCATAAGAAAGTACTCGTATTTATTACGAACAAGCGCTACAAACAGACATTATTGCTGCATAAATCAAGCAAGGGAAGCATACAAAGTGGCAGCGGCAGCAACAACAATTGCATACACATATCCGTCAGCACTGTGTCGAAGTGAAAATGTTAATACGGGGCATACATATATACATACATAGCGTACAGACAATTAACAATGGAGCCAAAGCCGTCAGAGCCACAGCCTGAGTTGCTTGGAGCCTGCAGTGTGTCATGACGCTAACTGTGCGCAGACTGTAAGTTAGCAGTGTGGCAAGCGGTGGCTGCACTACAACAGCAACAAGTACATCGAGTGCAGGGCGACACGAAGCGGTGCGAAGAGAGCTGCTGCAATTGTGAAGCTTGTTTATTTGGCTGCCGTGCCGTTGCACTTAGCGCGCTCGTTGCAACGTCGGAGTCAACAAAAGCTATGCTTTAAAGAAGGACAAGCATTGCTATAAGAACAAGCAGAGTGAAAAGCAAATGCCAAATACGAAAAGTGTGGAATATGAAAAGTGGCAGAGAGAATATATAAATTGAAAACTTACATACATACACAAGTGGATTTGTATYGCTCGCTGCTTGTGCATGGAACCGATTTTCAGCATAATGCGAACGAAGTGTGTAGAAACTCTTGAAATAGTGATTTACTTGCTACCAAAGTGGCTTCCGCAGACAACATGCATTGCTTATCAAAGTATTATCTCTGTGCTTGAAAGAGAAACATTTTATTCCGTCCACTACATATGTATGTATGTAAATACGCACAAAAATTCTTTAGACCGTCTATTTTAATGGGTTAGTAGTAGGCTATCACTGCACACCAACAAGCAAGCATAYATACATAAGTGTTTTTGTATGACTAACTGCTTACCGGAGTACGCAGTGGTTCCCAAAGTACGCATGAAAGCAAAAAAAAAATCTTTGTCTTGATTTTGAACGGTCAGTTTCTATGATAACTATATGATACAGTAGCCCGATATTGGCAATTTCGACAAATAAACAGATTCTTCGGGAAAAAATTACATATGCAAAAGTTCAGGTTGAGCGGTTACCTAATTATCACTCTTGATATTGTTGCACAGAATACTGCTTGGGTTTGAGCACAGCAGTTTTCTTGCAGTACTTTTTAGTGGCATTCGGATGCGTCAGTGAAAGGTTTCGACCATTGCCAATAGATATGTCAGTTTGGCAACCACTGCTTTCGTCCATTACCAATGGCTGCAAGACTTGTCTATGACTAATGACACACAAAGTAGCTGTTGTCTCTGCAATTTGACTCATTAAAAAAAAAGGAAATACTCGAGTCAATGATTAAAAAGAAAAAAATCCCGAAAATAAGCACAAATAAATTACTTAAAAGACAAAAAATATCGAGGAATGTAACGAAAATTGGCGTAAATGAGCACAGCGCTTATCTACAGGCATAGTATGTAACTACATACATACCTGTACACATGTGTGTGTATGCTCCAGCCATGCACAGAATGTGCAACCAAAGAGCAATAATGCCAGCAAGAGCAAAAATTACTGTAAAAATAAATAAATAATAATAAAAAACATTAGATTAGCATAGAAATGCATGCGTACATAAGTATTTATGTATACATCTATAAAATTTTGTTAATGTATTACTGATTGGAACTGAAGCACCAAGACGTATAATTATTATGCGCAGGTGGGGATCAATCCAAGCACATATGTATGTATATACCCATAGAAAAATCACATGTTTTTACGTTTTTCATTGGGACGTCGAACGTCAATTAGAAAACAGCAACACGATTGCCACCAGATATGGCTCGCGAGTAATTAAGCACGAAAAAACGACAACGGTGTCATTGAATTGGCGGAATCATGTGGTTGCCAGCGACCATCGCGGTTTTACGCTAAATCAAAGCGCGTTGAAAAATTGTGGTTACAAATATTTCAGCTTACAAGTGGAAAATTACAAATAAAATATGCTTGAATGAATTTAAAAATATGAACAACATCTCCCCTCACAATTTATCTATGCTTACAGGCTTGTTCAATTTTTAGCTGCCACTGTTATCGCATTAAAGTCGATTTAAGCGCTTTTTTATCTCTATTATTTCGATTAGTTTCCATCGCTTATTTTTCTGCCACAGCATACATTGCTTATTGAACAATAAGGCTGCGCAGTTTAAGGCAGTCTTACGTATTTTTTCCATACGCACTCATATACGTAAGTAGACGTTGTCGCAAAAGCGCTCTTCCGCCAATTTTCGATCGTCAGCACGTTCTTATTAATTATGCTCGACACAGCGCCGTTTGGATTTCAGCTTATTTATTTTTATTAGCCTTCCTGTTTACATACGCGTGTACATACAATAGGATTGGCAAATCCTGTAGCAAATTATTAAAATTTAATTTTCTTAAATTTATTATGTTAAAGTAGATTTTTAAGCAGGGTCGTGAAAAATTAATCATTATCGCCTAAGAATTTCATATGCATTCCTTAGATCACAAAAAAATATAGAACAAGAAAAAACGTTAAATTCGCCTGAATGACTCTTCAGAAATTCCTTACAAGAACTTGACACCGATCGGTCAGTTTGCAAGGCAGCTATATGCTACAGTGATCCGACCTCCATAATTTCTTCAAAGATTACACCATTAGATTGGAAAATGAGGTATATGTACACCGGAAACTAAGGTCTATTGTGCTCATTGCCTTAGACAATAACCCATTCAAAATTTCGTGATGATATCTCGTCAAATGAAAAGACTTTCCATACAAGAACTTGGTTCCTATCAATCAGTCAGTTTGTATGGCGGTCCGAAGTCAGCGGTTTTAAGTTGAGAAATGTCGATGTGATGCGAAAATAGGGAAAACACACAATGCCACAATACTGCTTATTGTCATATTCGTGAATGTTGCATGGTCATTTATTCGAGTACAATCAAATTATTGTGCTGTGCTTTGCTTTGATTAACCCATTGATGGCAAGCAAAATGAAAACTTATTCACAAAACTATTAATTTGTATAGAGCTATTCATTTACGCGCCTGCAGAAAAGAGCTTTGACAGACAAAATTTCTTAAAGATATAGGGTGCTGCGGTGAGGGTCGGCAAAATTATTTTCCATACTTTCTTTAAGGTTTAGATCGTTCTGTAACTATTTGTATAGCACTAAAAAGATGTTTGAAATTAGGCTTAAAGTGTTTTTTCTCAAGATGTTCTGGTAGAAGCTATGTTACCGGCTTATGCTTCAATATTTCTGCATGAAAACATTATCAGTAAAGTTCAAAAGTCCCGAATAGAACTACTCAATCTATATTTCAGAAATAAATCCGCAAAAAAAGTAATTTTTTTCACCATGAAAGCCTTACTTCCCCTTAAGGCAAGGGTTCACTTTTAACCAAAAATGATAAATCATCTCGACAAACATTAAGATCGATCAAAAAAATATCGAGAGGCCAATGTGTTAAGTGGTTTAGCAAATAATTTCATACAGATTTTTTCTCGTAATTCAGAAAAAACGACAATGAACAAATGCAAACAGCCTAAAACAAAGATACGTCAGATAATTTTATTGCCGTAAAAAATTAAAACTAAATTGCTAAAAGACACGATAAAGAGATAAATCACAAAAGACATAAAACATTTGAAGTGTAAAACGTTGTATAAATTTCAATTAAAAGCGAATTACGCGCAAAAAAAGCGCCCTCTCCTAACAAAGAACGCACAATTTCGCAACAGCAGCCTACGCACCTCTCCTTCGACCACAAGTTCCCACTTCCAAAACCAAATTTAACTAACTCATAACTGTATTTAACACACAATGATCAAATTGAAATCGTTGTTCCGCAGAGGGCAAGGCCCCTCGGGCTCCTCGAAGCATTCCTCCTCCAATAGCCGTCACAAATCGCAGTCCACCACATCGCTGAACACGGTTGGCAGCAGCAGTCAGGAGCCCGCCGCACCGACGGCCGCCTCAGCCGCCAACACAGCCACATTTTATCCGCCCATCGATCCGGTCACAGAACGCGGCGTCGACGTAGGCGAGGGTGATTTGAATATCGTTACCCCACTAGCAGCGCGCACGCGCAGTCGCACACCAGAGGCGCTGCGCCACACCAACAACAATAGCAACGCTGCGCAAATAAGCGCCGCCAACAGTGCCAATACTTTGCCACACAAGAAGCCAAAGGTCGCCGGCATCGGCAAGAAGGGTCAGAAGCAGCCAAAGCAATTGCCAACGACAGCGCAGCCACATGCGCCGCCAGCACGCGCTGAGGTCGTAGTCGCTACCGCACCAGTTGGCAATGTAATGACGACAATAGCCGCTGCGCCGGGAAGTCACAATTCCGCGGTTAATACAGCAACCAATAACAATTACACCACCGGCGGCGAATTGATTAGCGCGTCCATTGGGCAAGTGGCGCTACCGACTCCAGCCGAAGCGGGCATAGATTTGTACAAGTTGAATGCGGCCAATTATCAGCAATTCATTAACAACGAGCAACTATTGCAACAGCAACAACAACATCAACAACAATTGTTAGAGGTGCGTCGGTATAACAATGCAAAAATATTTCATTTGTTTCCAATTCGAATAATATTTTCGTTTCTTGTGGCAGGCTAACAACAAAATGCAGGATCTGCAGGCGCAGCTAGAGCGTCTGGGTCACGAAAAATCATTGCTGGAAGCGCGCATTGCCGAGCTGCTGCCATATCAGGCCGAAGTGGGTAAACTGAAGGCGGAGCTGCTCAAGATGCAGGTGGGGGACAATGTTTTTGCAGAAAAATATCGCCAATAAATAACTGTAAATCTCTGAAAAACACACACACTGCAGCGACAATAAAGCTATTTGTGCTATTTCTACACCACAATGCAACTCTGCATAGTGCAGGTGATTTACAGTTATTTAATTGTCAGCTGCAAGTAGTGTGATTCAATTAACGCCGACACTTTGAATGGCATGCCACAACGTCGTATTTTCATATTAATTTATTTTAATTCCTCTTGCGCACAGAGCCAGCACGAGAAAAGTCAATTGGAGGTGACAAATCTCAAGTACGAGAATGAGTCGTTGCGCAATCGTTTGCGTGATGTTGTCAACTCGCCATTATCAGACGCGGAGAAACACCAAATCATACAAGACTCGCAGCGATTGCACAGTTCAGCGCCGGCCTCAATTGCGCTGCCAAGTGTAAGTTGACCAGTAGTCTATTGGTTTGTCCAACCTTCTCGTTTCAAAAATGCGTTTTCAAAAATAAAAATATGTTTACATTATTGATTTATAAACAATTTTAACTGTTCTTCCACGGCCTGTAGACTACCGACAATGACGTGGGCACACCCTGTCTCACGCCCGATTGGGATAAGCACTCCTCATCAAGCGAAATTTCCGTCGCCTGCCTGCAAGATAAGATCATACAAATGGAGGAGACGCATTATTCGACCAATGAAGAACTGCAGGCCACACTGCAAGAGCTAGCCGATTTGCAGGCCCAGTTGAGTGACGCACAGGCGGAGAACGAACGTTTAGCCGAGGAGAAGGATGTGCTCTTTCAGACACTGTGTCGCCAAACTGAGAAACTGAATGATTCGCGCACACAAATCAACACGCTACGCACCGAAATCAGCTCCTCTGAACGCGAACGTAAACTACTCGATCTGATTAAGACATCGCAGGAAGAACGCGAAGCGATACTCGTCAAGCAGGAGGAGCTCAATGCCGAATTGCAGGAGTTACGTCAACAGCTGGAGACCGCCTTGGCCGATTGTACACGTACGCGCGAACGCAATGCGCTGTTGGACTCTACCGTCGATGCGGCGAACGCCGAACGCAAACAAATTGAAGCGCAGCTAACACAGGCCAAAGAGGAGATCTCACAGCGCAGCATCGAGATAAATCGCCTGAGCACGCTGCTGGAGAATGCACGCTCAAAAATCGAAGAACTGGAGCAAGATTTGGCGCGTGGTGAAAAAACCGATCTTACCGATTTATTGGACGCGGCCCGCAAAGAGAAGGATACGTTGGAGGAGCGGGTGGCCGAGTTGCAGGATCAGTATTCGCGCAGTCAGGCGGAAATTCGACGAATCAAAGAACAGCTGTCCGGCGTGACTGAGGAGTGCAAGGTCGCAAAGAATAATGCCAAGTGTGCCGTCTCACATCTGGAATATCGGCTGGAGCAGCTGCAACAGGAGAAGGACAAGTTGAGCAGCGAGCATCAGCAGCTAGTCGATAGCACCAACGAATTGCAGGTAAGTGTGGTGTTTACGATGTATTTCCAACTCTCCATATTGACGGTATGACATTTAATAGGTGCAATGCAAATGTCACTTGGAAGACAAGCAACAGTTACAAAACCTACTCAGCGAGACGCAGAAACATTTGGGCGATGTGGAGGGCAAACTGAATGCGACCGAAAAACAGCTCGAGGAGGAAGTAAAGTTGCGCAAACAGGAGGTAACGACACTGCAAACGACATGTAACGCATTTCCACTGAACGGCAACTTCTTTTCAGGCAGAGGAATGGCAACAGTTCCAGTCGGACTTGCTAATGACGGTACGGGTGGCCAATGACTTTAAGACTGAAGCGTTGAGTGCGCGCGAACAGATGGTGCTCGACAACAAAACGCAAAAGGAGAAGATACGACTGCTGGAGCAGCAAATAGAGAAGCTGACAAAACAACGTAAGCGTTTCACATTTCAACAGTCATCTAACTGTTTTCACTTTTAAACATAAATTACAGAAATGCAACAGAATGAAACGCAGCAATCGGTGCTGACCACTGTCCAACAAGAAATGGCTTCGCGGCGCAGTAAAATCGGCAGCAGTCTGAATCGGCAAGACTCGCGGCTGTCGGTGAAGACGCTTATCGAGAGCATTGAGAACAATAAGGTGGGTAGTAGGTAACTGGTACTAGTACAGTGTTCTACAAAAAATAAAGATTTCCGATCGACACAATAACAGTTTTTAAAGCTGCTTGAGAAATATCGTCATACTCGTATTATAAAAATTCGTCTGTTACTTCTACTTTTGTATACAACTGATCCTCAATGAATGATCGGTGATCGTCGTTAACTTTGTCAAGATCGTCTTCGCCGTCTTTAGAAACGACTAAAAGCGGCGTTCCCACGACAGTTGAGTCTACATAACCGGAATGGACCCGGATTTTTATCCATCCAAGGACTGTCTACTCAGCATAATTTTATCGCTACAACAACAACAACCACTAAAAGCGATGAAACAGATTTCGAAAGCTTCCAAGAAGAAAACTGCGCTTTATATAGTTCTGTTAAATGTTGGGTTTTGATTGAAGATTTGTTCTCACCAATTTGTCAATGGATAGCGTAAGTAAGAATACTTATCGGAAGAGAAATTTAAAGTTTGCGAATAAGTGTAAAGGGAGATAGAGAAACAGCGAACCAACACCTTCGGTTGGCAGAAAATGAAGTTTTGAAAAATTTTTGGAACAGCTCTCTTTGTTGTGGCTTTAGCGGGAAGAAAACATACCCGAACTAATTTGGAGTAATGCTGCCCAGTTGACAGTCCCTGAGCAAATATAAATTCGGGTCCATTCCGCTTACGTGGACCCAGGTGTCATGGGAACGGAACAGATCTTCGAGTTTATGAAAATTTATTCTTTTCCACTTTCACTTTTAGCCAAAAGTCGAGGAAACTGAGTCACATTACAGTTCCACATCTAGCTTAAATAGCGCTACACCGGAGATAACGGGCAACCTACTGCCACCGGTCATTGGCAATAATACAACGAATAGCGACTGGGCTGAAAATGTGAGTAGTAATTATTTCGTTGTTGTTACTGTTTTAATTCAGATTTTTTTCGATCTTTTTGCTTAGGTGCGTCTACAAACTACAACAACCATTAACAGCAGTAGCATTAACAGCATTACAAACAGTAATACCGTCAACAATACACCTGCCAAAGGACCGCTGCGCGAACAGCAACAACAAACGCCGGCAACAACAACACAAACTAGCTTAGTCTCGAATCTGCATCACTTTAGCGGCCTCAACAGTGTATCGAGCAAATCTCTTCTAAGTGGTGAGTAAATAAGAGACACAAATACAAACACCCCTCCCTCTACACAATGTGCAATTCATTTCAAAATATTTGACATTTGCAGGCGAACGCAAGGATCCGTTGAATATGTTGGCGAAAAACGGCGGCTCGAAACGCAATGCGCTGCTGAAATGGTGTCAAAACAAAACCGTCGGCTATCGCAATATTGACATAACAAATTTCAGTTCGTCCTGGAATGACGGTTTAGCGCTCTGTGCAATACTACATTCCTATCTGCCGGATCGTATACCCTACGACACGCTCAATCCGACCAACAAGCGACGGAACTTCTCCCTGGCGTTTGCGGCGGCCGAATCTGTGGGCATACAAACGACTTTGGTAAGGCACCTACACACATAAACGCATACAAATGCACATTTTAAGCAACCGATTTGTCCGATTCACAGAATATAAACGACATGTGTCAGCTTGAGCGGCCCGACTGGACGCAGGTGATGTCCTACGTAACGGCAATTTACAAACATTTCGAAACGTAGACGCGGGCGCCATGACAAACACGCACATGCGCACTTGTACAATTTTGTGAGATAAGTTGGACAGCAACAAATGCTTATATTTGTACTTTCCTGCTGTGTGTTGTTCGTTCGGTATACGCAGATGGCAATGTAGTGAGCGTGAATGAAAATGGGAAAAACTAAGACTTAACGCAGTATGCTGTATTCTTGATAGACACATTATTTAGTGGCAATGGCGTAATACATACACACTTTATTATCACACTTGTTCCATAGTGTTTTTTTTCGCATTATTATTATTATTGTAGTTTACACATATTTAATTTATTGAATAAAAAAGAAATCTTATAGAAAAAACGAGAGATAGTATATCATTTAAAATTTAAACAAAAAAAGAAAAGTAAAGATTAAAAAAAAATGTGCATACAAACACTTAATTTCGATTGGTCAGTTTGTAAGGCAGCTATATGCTATAGTAAACCAATCGGTGGCTCCTACAAATGCGTAGCTTCTTGGGGAGAAAAGGCAGATATCTTCAACACTGATGACTAGTTCGTGTTCATATACACTGACAGATATGTATGTACATAATGGCATTTGAGAAAAAAAAAATGAAAAATATTTTTGTTGTTTAAGCATTTCGTTACTGATTTGTAGCATACAATTAGGCGCAAATGATACACAGAAAAATAATAACAAAACCACGTTGAAGTAAATGTAATGTGTAAAAGATTATGTGAAGCGTATTCAAAAGTCAAGTAATGGTTTGAGAAAAGATTTCAAAAAAAAAAAAAAAATGGTGATAGTGAAAACTAATTTATGTGAAAAAGTAATAAATTTTATCTCTACAAATATACATTTGTACACATATAGAAAAACTATATTTTAGTACATAAATGCTTTTAATAAAAAATAATCTCAATTAAAATAAACAAAAAATCACTAAATTCCTTTTTCCTTTTGTAACTATATGTTTGAAGGCGTTTCCGTTTTAGTGTGGTGGCAACCGTAGTACCGGTAAACGTTAACGTAAAACTTTACACACGCCTTTCCAAAAACAACTTTCTTTGAGATGGTTGAGATGATAGCTTTAGTTCTACTTAACCTATTCCTCTGAAATTTGATTTAAAAAAATATCTTTGTTATAAGTTTCTCTATAGAGCCTGCCTGCCTCGCACTTTGGAAAAAAACTCAAAAACGGTAAAAGAAAAAAACTCAAAAAGGTAAAAAATAATGGCATTGTGTGAATTTTTTGGTCAAAGGTCAATTGATAGCGACATCTTTGTAAATGAAGAATTTTTTCAATTTGTTTGTTTTAGATCTCTATAAAAGTTGGAATCATGTCAACTAGGAAGCACTGTAATTTTATTTCCAGCCCACTCTCCGACGGTCTGTATTCAACTATTTTGTAATTTTGTTAAAGAATAATTTTTCTTTTTTCATTCTTTAAATTTCGATAAAAGTAATATAAAAAAATATAGTGCAAATGGTTTTCATTTTTTATTTTAGTTTGAAAATTCCCTAAAATTTAGACGTAATTTGCAGTGAATGAAAAAACGATAAAGCTGTTTATAAATAGAAAAATAAATATCGTGTTGTAATTGCAATTATTTATTTGGCTTTGAGGGTTTTCAAGTTTTGGTTTACATGTATTCACGATCAAATTTTGGGTAGTCGAAACAGTCTTTTCGTATTTTGTCATAGATGTCGTTGCAAACGTAGCGAAAATAGTGGTAAAATGGTACATATGTACATATTTGTTTATTTATTTATTAGTATAAAAAAAATAAGTAGAAGTTTGATTAGAAATACGAAAAGACTTTTTTGATAGTTAGTGATTGGCAAAAATAAACAACAAAACAAAGCTTTTATTGTTACTTAACAGCTAAATTGTTTTTAAAAAAAGTAAAAAATAAAATAATACAAAATAAATTTATACAAAAAATTTAAATTATGTTTAGTTTGACTTTAAGTAAACCATTTTTTTGAGCTGGAAAAAACAAAAAAAGCATCTTTCTAATTTTACTATTAAAAAAATAGCACTAAGAAATTCAATTATTTTCGAAATTCGTTTAAAGAAAATCAAATTTTATTAAATTGATATTAACATAAAACAACAAAGTATTAAAATTGTTTTAAATTTAGTAAGTTCTATTTATTTGATGATTTGAAGCAAAGTTTCAAAAATTAAAACTTTAAATAAAACAAAAAATAAAAAAAATAAAAATATAACTTTTTGTTAAATTGAAAAAAGAAAAAAGTGCCGCACAATTATTATTTTACTTACTTGTTTGGATTTTTTCTGCTATTGGAAATAAATTGAAATCGCACATACATATGTATTTAGAGAGTTTACAACATTTTTATTTTTATTTTTTTATTATATGTATATCTTAGTTCATAATACATTTATGGTTTAAGCGTTAATTGTTTAACATTAGGGACTTATGGGCTTTGTCCAAAGCAAAGCAATTAATTTTTTCGAGTTTTTATAATAATTTAAATAATTAATAATATTATTGGATATACACATAAAAAAGAAATATGTATGATAAAAAGTAAATTAATAATTATCGTGCACACCTGTAGTTGTAATAATAAAAATTTTTGGGCTCTCATATTCTTATTTATACATGCTTATTGTATTAAAAATATATTTCTTTATATTTATATAGGTACAATTTATTTTTCTATTTAATAAACACCGTTATCATTATAGGTGCACGGCTTAAATATATATATTTTTTTTAACATTCCAAGTATTTAAAACAAAAATGTTATAATAATCAAATATAAATATACTATATGTACAGATATATGCTTATACAAAAATTTTTTTTCTTTACCATAATTCTCAGATACTATGTGTCATATTCAATGCTAAATTAAGTAATCAGTGCAAAGTTTTTAACGCATTTGTCTTTAACATTGTTGTACTGCTGTAATTATTACGTAACTTGAACGCACCCGATTTGTTCCTAGTTAACATGGGCCTAGTTGAAATTCTCGATTCAATGAAATATGCTCTTGGTGATTCCAGCTTCAGTTATGTATATGCTTTGATTTGAACACTCAGAAAGTCGCGGCTTATTTTCATAACAACGAACTATTGTATTATATATACAAACGAGTATTCGAAAATAACTACAGTGGTCATTGGGGAATTGTGATATGTTGGAACTATAAACGTTTGCAAAAATTACAGATTTCACCATTCAAAAATGACACTCGTTAATCATCTCACCCAGGTGACTTGAAACTAATCAACATGAAATCTCCCTATGCGAATCGGTTTATGCGCCATTTGTTGCAATAAGAAAATCTATTAATTACCAAAGCTGATATTGAGACTATGACCAATCAAAGTTAGAAAACTAAAGACAAATAAAAAGTGAGTAAAACTTACTTACATTTGTAATTAAGCGAAAATTGAAAGTGCTGCTACATTAACCCATTCAAGCCCACTGTTACATATACATATGTCGTTTTGAGCGATGAAATTAAACTTAATCGCATAGGTCCTCATGGTCGGAGCTAATCAACCAGAAATTTAATTCTCACTATGTTCAATAATGTCATGTTCCTGGGGCTGTGGAGAATTTGCCTGTTATATGGAAATGTCAACAGAATAACGATCCAAAGCACACGGCAATGTTAACAAACAAGTTTTTTGATGCAAATTCCATCAATGCTTTACAATGGCCATCATCAAGTTTAGACTTGAAACCATTGAACCTCTCTGGGGTGAAGTCGTCAGCGTCCTTTTTGAGGAAGTCTGCAGATTGGTGTCGCCGCGTTGGCACGAATCACAGAAATTAACTCCGAAGRGTTTTTCCATTGCGCTCTTTTAATTAATTAATAAAATTTATAAATCAAAAAAATTATACACTACTAAAGAGTATTGTTCCTAAATGTTAAATGTTTGAATTTTTTTGCAATAGTTATTCATAATTAATATTAAATTGGTTTAACTTGAATGGAAAGATTTAGTGAGGGTCGAATTTGGGATACAACTTTCCTATTTTTAGTTTAGTTGTTTTTAATCATAATCTTCGATGGTGATACTAATAACATAAGTTTACAAATTCAGGTCAACATTTAATTTCGCAAGATGAACTAAGTGATTTGATTCGTGATTTGAATTTGTCCAAACAAAAAGCAGAGTTGCTAGCATCACGGTTGCAGCAATGGAAATATCTTGACTCTCGAACACAAGTTACTGTATACAGAAACAGAAATCAGACAATTCGACCGTTCTTCAAAAAAGAAGACAACATAAGTTTCTGTAACGACATTAATGGTTTATATAATGAAATGAATACACCGTACGATCGAAACGAATGGCGTTTATTCATTGATGGTTCCAAATACAGCCTAAAAGCTACTCTTCTCCACAATGGAAATAAAAAACCATCTATTCCCATTGCTCATTCAATACAAACGAAGTGTTTAGGCCAGCGCCTAACTTCTTTTTACCACCCCTAGTGAGTGTATAACAAACCATTGCCAGTTAGCTGTTAATAGTTTTCACTCAACGGTTAACAGCTTTCACTCGACTGGCAATGGTTTCGTTGAAAACTCCCAGTTAGCAAGCGATTCTGCTAATCAGCTTGGCGCACCTTTTTTCTAGAGAGCAAGAAGTGAAGACGTCCACCGGCTACCACAACCACCACCATAATAGTCAGCATAATAAGGTAATTCTTGGTAATTATCATTTAATAAAGAACCAATTTAATTGGCAAATATCAAACACAAACTTCGTGGTTTTTTTTTTCTTATTTACTAATACACTTTTTCTTCCTGTTTTCATATTATCAACGATGGACGCATCGTCCGCGAGTGACCCGTCGACCGTACGAGAATTAATCACGAAGGAATGATACGAAACAATGCGATCCTGTGCTTCATCAAATACAATGATCATAAATGGAAAATACTTATGTGGCGATCTAAAGCTTTTGTTCAAAATTGAACGTGTTCGTTGCTGCCAAAGCACGGACAACAATATTATATTTAAGTCTTTTATATATATTTCAATGTTAAGTAAGATAAGCTATTGTCATTAATCATACAGTCCACTAGTAATAGATATCTATGCTCAAATATATAGAACATACATACACATATACATCAGCAAGCAATATAAATTATACTTCTATGACAACACACACACACACACACACATGTATTGTATTGTATTGTATAGTTAAAAACAACCCCATGTGG